CCATGCCCAGCTAATTTTCCTATTTTTTGTAGAGATGGAGTCTAGTTCTTGCTCAAGACAGTCTCAAATTTCTGATCTCAAGTAATCCTCCAGACTTGGCTTCCCACAGTGCTAGGATTTCACCTGGCCTGTGTGCCATTATCTAATTTTTTTGTTTGTTTCCTCAAAATAAAAATGGCTGGTAAAAGTAGTGATATGTAGATACCTCCCTCTACAGAAAGAATTAACATTGAAGGCCTGTGACTGCTATCCTTAGGCCTACTTTTAAGGTTGGCCCTGGCTGGGGGCTAGAAACTTGACTAATAAATAGTTCCCTACACTGTTATAAAACTTTCCACATATTATAAAAGCCAATGCTAAACGCCTCTTTCTTTCTGAAGTCTGGAAGTTTGGTACATGCTAGGCAGAGACGCCTGCTTGGCCAGTCCCCATTAAAAGCCCTGGACTCCTGGGCAAGCTTCCCTGGTAGATCACATTTTATGTGTATTCCCCACAACTAGTTGCTGGGGAAGTTAAGTGTATCCTGTGTGACTACCTGGGGAGAGGACTCTTAGATGCTTCTGCCTGGTTTCCTCCATACTTCTCCCCAAGGCACCTGTTCCATTTGCTGATTTTACCTTTTTCTGAAATAAAGCTCAGCCACAAGTATGACCATATGCTGACTCCTGTGAGTTCTCCCAGTGAATCACTGAATCCACAGATGGTCGTGGAACCCCCAACACATCTCCCCACCAGAAAGTAGTGTAATCATCCCCTAACCTAGCTTGAAGGTGGGTTAGACTTAGTGACTTGCTTCTAAACAGAATAGAGAAAGGGAAAAATACAAATATTACAGTGGAGGATCCTGGCAAATGCTACCTCAACCAAGCCATCACATCATCACTGGTACCATGTTGATAGGAGGTACCTCCCAATGTAATATGATCAGACAGGTACTCCTGTCTGTGGGTATCCTTCCCATAATCTAATCACAAGAAAGCCAACAGGCAAATCCAAATCTAATCTTAAGAAAAACAACAGAAGAATCCAGATTGGGAGACCTTCTACAGGATACTTGGCTAGTATTTCAAGACTGCAAAGGCCATGAGAACAGGGAAGACAGAGAACCTGTCACAGATCAAAGAAAACTAGGGTGACATGATAATTAGATTCAATGTGGTACCCTGGATGAGATCTTGTAACAGAAAGAAGACTGTAGTAGAAAAACTGGTGAAATCCAAATAAAGTCTGGTGTTATATTAATAGTAACATTCCATTGTTGGTTTCTTAGTTTTTATAAATGAGACATGGTAATATAAGACATTAATAAAGGGAGAAATTGGGTGAAGAGTGTATGGGAACTCTCTGTACTATCTTTGCAATTTTTTATGCAACCCTAAAATTAATACAAAACAAAAGTTTTACTTAAACAAAGGGTGGCACACTTAACTGTAAGAAAATAACAAGTTATGTTACTGGAGGTTTTGTTATGTTTTGAATCATTCTTATGAAGCTGCTGTGACCAGTTTTTTTACTTTTTCTAACTTTTCCACTATAACAAATTAAAAACTAAAACAAAAGTTGAGAGAGAATAATGACCGCTCACATACTCACCACCCAGCATCAATAATTCTCAACTCATGACTCAACTCTATAATGCTCCATATAACCCCCCAGATTATTTTGAAGCAAATCCATATCATTTTAACTGTGTTTCAACATGTATCTTTGAAAGACAAGACTCCTCTTTAAAAAACCCAATAGGACCACCTATCTCTCACAAATATTCTCCCAGTCAACAATAATTTTTAATGTCATTAAATATAAAGGTAGTGTTCATATTCTCTCAAATGTCTTATAAATGTTCTTTTTATCTATCCCCCAGTGTATGTGAATCTAAATCTAAGATTGATACATTGGAATTGGTTTCTTAAGCACTTTTTTGTTTTGAGACAGAGTGTCACTTTGTCACCCTGGGTAGAGTGCTGTGACATCACAGCTCACAGTAACCTCAAACTTTTGGACTCAAGTGATCCCCTTGCTTCAGCCTCCTGAGTAGCTACAGGTGTACTGACTAGTTTTTCTATTTTTAGTAGAGATGGAGTGTTGCTCTTGCTTAGGCTTGAACTCCTGAGCTTAAGTAATCTACCGTGTTTCCTTGAGAATAAGACCTACCCCCAAAATAAGCCCTAGCAGGATTTCTATGCATTTGTTAAATATAAGCCCTACCCCAATGATAAGACCTAGCCACGCCATGCATTTCGGCGTGGACCGATAAGGAAGACTGGAATACCTTTTATCTGCTACAGCTCCTTTCTCCGAGCTGTTGGCACTTGTGCAGGTGCACGGGTGGTACACAGTTGCAGGCATCCTATTGCACATGTGGGAACAGCTAGGGGAAAGGAGTTCACACATCACTAACGCCAGCCCCACCAACAAAGTTGGCTCCCCCTGTCAGGTTCCAGAAGATGACTTAACTGTATTTGAATAGATGTAGGCTGTATTATACTTAATTAAAAGTAAGACATCCCCTGAAAATAAGCCCGAGTGTGTCTTCTTGAGAAAAAATAAATATAAGACAGTGTCTTATTTTAGGGGAAACATGGTACCACCCTTGGTCTCCAGTAGTGCTAGGATTCCAGGTGTGAGCCATCTTAAGTACTTTTTAATTGACAGATTTCCCTTCTACTTTTTTCCTTGCAATTGGTTGAAAAAAAGTGAGTCATTTGTTCTGTACAATTTCCCATTCTGTTTTTTGCTGAACAAATCCATCTGATATGATCTAACATATTCCTTTGTCTCTTCTCTTCCCTGTAAATTAGTTGTTAAGACTAAAGGCTTGAGGGTTTGGTTTTGGTTTGCAAGAATTTTTCAGAGGTGGGTTGTATACTCTCAACAGGATATTGGTAGTGTTCTGACTTCATTAATTAGCAGGAAGAGAAACTATTCCTCATTAACTATTTGGTTACTCTGGGGAAAGGCAAATAAAATACTGTAAGAAAGGCAAAACACTTATGACCCAGTTTCAAAAGTAGTAAGTTGGTTGCCTACTATTCTCTAAAGGGGATTAGAAAGAGTTTCTTCTCATTTGTTTGTCATCTTCCTATGATCCCTAGATTTAAACATATTTGAAATTTTTCAATCCATTTCTCTTCATTGGTACTCAGACTGTCCTAGCTTTGCCCAGTAGGAGCCTATTCAAGCTGCTTCTGGAATGCTTTAGATAAATCTCCAGTAATTTTTAGTAGCTTCTTTGCTTTCTGGCATGACCCAATGCTCTGTATTCATCCTCTACAGCTCCTCCAGACTTGGAATTGACAAGTGTCTAACTACCATTGGGATTTAGAAATGAATTCAAAGCCTGAGCACTATGGCAGCTTACTGCCATTAGGCTGGTCATTATTTTTAACTTTTCAGTGGACAAGGCTAGGAAAAACATACATATTTTTTAAATTCACACTGACAGTCAAATTCAAATTAAGGACTACAAAATTTTTAATTACTCTCCTCTGTCTTATCTGTTTCTTTCCAGTTCTTAAAACACCAACATAATCACTTTTATAATCATTGATTCAATGAAATAACAATACTATACTAGCATCAACAAAACCATGCTGAAAACCAGTTTAAACTTAAGACATCAGATTTAAGATATTAGTTTAAACTTTTTGTTTTGAAGGTATATTCCACTCGGAATGTTCAAATTTCTGTTTTAAAGTTTCTTAGAACGATTTCTGAGTAGCACTGTCATCATTCAGAAACACAGATCTGCTTCTTTAGATTTTACTTGATTTTTAGGAATTGCTCTTTATAATTAGATTCTTTTAAATTACAAGAAACATTTACGTGGCTCCAAAATGACATCTATAAAACAAAATATAGTCAAAGAAGTCTAGCTTTTATTCCTATATTTTGTGCTATTGGCTCCATTGCTTTCTCTTTGGTAATTATTTTTAACAATTTATCCAACCCTTGTTTTAAGCATAAGGATATACATACACATGCGTATGCAAATACATATGTATATATGAGTATAGTTGTGTCCATGAATGTATATGTGTAAGTGAATACAAGCATATTTCATTATGTTACACTCTGTGGATATTGTGTTCTTAACCAATTGAAGGTCTGTGGCAGCCCTTTGTCAAGTAAGTCTATCAGCATCATTTTTTCATTAAGCCTGTATTCACTGAGTGTTGCTAGGTCACATTTTGAGAATTCTCACAATCTTTAAAACATTTCCATTATTACATCTATTATGGTGATCTGAGATCAGTGGTCTCTGATGTTACACAGAGTAACATCAAATTGTATTTTGAAGGTGCTACCAACTATGCCTATAAAAGACAGCAAACTTAGGAAATGTGACATGTGTTCTGACTGCTACAGTGACCAGCTATTCCCCCGTCTTTCTCCTTCTGCTTGGGCCTCTCTATTACCT